GGGGAGAAAAAAAAAAAAAAAGGAAAAAAAAAAAAAAAAAGAGCAAAAGCGCAGCAAGCACAAAAGAGCAAAAGCCCTTCTGTCCGGCTGCTCCTCACTTTTATACTGGGCATGACGCTGCATGATATGGAATACTAATTGGCCAGTTTGGCCCTCCATCTTAAGTTCCACCACAAATCACAAGGGGAATCGTGTCCCCCTTGTCCCAACTATGCTCCCCCCTTATCCCGCCGTGCTTCTGCACTCTGGCACACTGAAAAGTCCTTGGAGTCTCACGTCCAACCACAAACAGCAGCTTGCTATCAGCATTCTTCTCAGAGCGAGCCTCTGAGTAAAACCAAAATACGGAGCTCTTCTAGCTGCTAAAAAGAAGAGCTAACCTGGTCCCAGCTAAAACCAGGACAAAGGGCTTGATGCACATTCTGCAAATAACTGTTGAAAAGTAGGTGCGATAACTGGGTTTACCATCAGTGACGGGCAGTGGTTCTCAGGAATTTTCTAAGAAGCACCAGCTATATAGAGAACTTCTCTTTCCAAGAGTACCACTTTGTCAGTAGGGAAACAGGGCTCCACCACACACTTTGGTGGATTCATGACTGACTCTCAGATGCCTGGAGAAACCCACAAAGGAAACTATCTAGAGTTTTGGAATGCTTACAGGATGATTAATAAAACCCTGTCTAACTGTCCAGGCTTCCTTCTTTCCAAAGGGTCCTTGTTTTTTGTCAGTGCATTAACTTGGAAGACACAACTTTTAGCGTACAGACAAAGGAATTTGCATCCTATCTGCCTTTCTTACTAGCTCTCTTCCACTGCTTGTATTTGCAAGCTGTGGGAGGGATTCAGCCTGCTTATTAAATCATCTGACTTCAGGTGCCTAACTTTGGGTGCCTTTGGGAGCCTCTGAGCTCTGTTTATACTGACAACAGACCTAGTCAATACAGGTAGTGAAACCTGGAGAGCAAGTCAGCTCACCCCAAAGTATGCACATGTTCCCTGCTTTTCATAGGTCGAGTTGTTCTCTAGGCTCCACTGTATTTTGTAGTGGATGCTTAGACACTTGGCTAGCATACAGGTGCCTAAATTTGGGTATCTGTCACCTGTAAGGTCAATCCTGCCCCATGCACCCCTTCCCCTTCCTGCCTTGATGTAGGGTGAATTGTGGATGTTGAAGGTATTCTGACATCACGGACTTGGGTACAAACCTGGGCAGCCGTGGTTGCTTACATATCACACGTGACTGGTGAAGGAGATAGTTTCTCAAGGAGAAACTTAGGCTGAGAAGATGAAATATAATAACTTCATTACTTACATATTAGCTGTTTCCTAAATGCCAAAGTTGTTGACTTCATTTTAAATCTCACTTCTTTCAGGATGATATATACATGTACGGTGGAAAAATAGATGCAACGGGGAACGTGACCAGCCAGCTGTGGGTGTTCCACATTCCCACCCAGACCTGGACTCAGGCGACACCAGAAGCCAAGGAGCGGTACGCTGTCGTTGGCCACTCGGCACACATCGTCACCCTGCAAGACGGCAGCGCGGTCATGCTCGTCATCTTTGGGCACTGTCCTCTTTACGGGTATATCAGCAACGTCCAGGAATACAACGTGGGTGAGTGGGGCTTATCTACCATTGGCTTCAGTTTTAACAGTTGGTTTGAAAATTATTTGAACGGTCCATATTCACATAGCGAAACAAGGACAGAAGTTTTCCTCCTCTTCTGTTTGTATTTATGAGAAGTTCAATCTAACTTCCTGTGTTTGTATAACACAGACAGTGAACAGTCAGCCTCGTGCCTCCGGCTTTATACAGCTTGTTAGGTCCTGAAGACAAAAAAGCTGTAATTGAGGGACAAAGAAGGATAACTGTGAGACAACTTAATTTTCCTCTCTCCCTCTGACAAAGCATAGACTTTTGAAATTATTTTTTGTATCCTGCGAATACAAGGATAGCTGTAACAATTCAGACCAAGTACCCACTTAACCTGCTGATACCTGTGTCTCCAGCAGTGGTGATTAGCGAATGCTTAGGGGAACAGGGAGTGACTTTCTGGACTTCTGCTTGCCTCTGTTTGGGAACAGTCCAAACTCTGACTTCAGAATCCAGAGGTTTCCAGTGTCATGGGTGGAGAAGTGTAGGAAGCTCTCCAGATGAACCGAACTTCTCCCTAGCTTAGCTGTTCTGAACTGGCTCTGTGGAGGCATGTGCCTTGCACTGCTGACCAGGTAGAGAACGTAGTTAACCACAGGAAGTTCACAATGTCAATGGGCTGGTTATTGTCAGAGATAGTGGCCCTATCTGTGCTTTTCGACCTACTATTCTTGTCCTTCAGTCATCCTGATCCAGGGGATCTACTGGAGCCTCTACCACTTGGCTGGTATCTACATGAGCGAGCTTTGTTCCTGTAGGAGAAAGCCAGAGAAAACCAGATTCGGTTTTCTGCTGTTCTGGTTTTCCCACATGTGGTCTTGCAGACTATTCAGTTCCTTTACCTTTGGTGTGCCTGATGTGCCCTGGAGTTAGGAAACCTGTGTAGGGTTTCGTTCTGCACTTGCTACAGAGATTTGGTGTGTGATTTAGCATTTTTGTTTCAGTTGCCATTATATTATGTCTAGAGTGCTTCAAACCAATGTTATTTTAGTGAGTGAGATATAGGATCATTAATCATATATTAGTTTTTAACTGCAGTGTTCTTCACAGTTATACTTAACTTGGCTTCAATGCTGCCTGGCTTTATATATATATATAAAATAAAAGTGCTCTCGGGTGCCATTCCAAATCAAGCCATGGTACTGGCATTTTCATGTCACTGAAATGCAGTATATTATTTTTATACTTTTTTATCTCTCATTTACTTAGCTTGTCTGCAAAATGTAATAGATGACTGTAGAAGAGATGTTTCTGTTTTAATTAAAAATATTTGACAATACTTCTTGACAACAAACTCCATGAAGGGGAGTATTTTTGATATGAAGTGATAGAGACAGTATCTAGATCTGAGTCGAGGGAAACCCAATTTGTTTCCCACCAGATTTGTTGACAAGTCGTTAATGGAGATAAATTAACCATGTTTTGTCACTCATGTTTTTCATTTCTCAGCCACAAATAAATGGAACATTTTACAGACGAGCGGAGCTTTGGTGCAAGGAGGATATGGGCACAGTAGTGTTTATGATCCAAATACAAGGTCAATTTATATCCATGGAGGTTACAAAGCGTTCAGTGCCAACAAATACAGGCTAGCAGATGACTTGTACAAATATGAAGTTGATTCCCGTATGTGGTAAGTAGTTCTTCCTCCTGTATATATCACCCATCATTTTTGTGGTGGACAAAAGGATGGGGCGTTTAATAAGGATACAGTAGTACATAGTTACATGCATTCAGGATGGATAGCATGCTCTTGTATCTGTTATTTTTATGTCCCTTTATGAATGGAGTATCATATAATCACATATAATCAAGGCTGTGAATGAGCCAAGAAATCCATTTTAATCTATTGTTGTACTAAAGATGAGAAGAAAAATATTTGATGGGATTTTCTTGCCAGCAGTACAGACTGTGCATATGAGTGCAGTTACTGCAGTTGAGTGAGTGATAATTCATTCTGCAGTTAAGACCGCAAAAGAATTTCTATTATAACCCCATTTTCTTCTGGCTCTGTAACTGCTTGAAACGTTCGTTTCTTAAGCTGAAATCTTCTGTGATTTGTTTCTGCCCAAAGGTGAGTTTTATTAAAAAGCTATAGCAAAACTTCACAACTTTGACCTATAGGGGTGAAGTGCATTTTCCTCAATTTTGTGTTTATCTTAAAAGTTGTTTTTAAAGGCTCCTGACAAAAAGGAGACTATCTTTTGTATTGGCACATGTAAATTTGAGTCACGATATCTCCTTTTTTGAGAGTTTAAACCAACTTGTATTTCTGTAACAACTGTTTGTGAGTCTGTACTGATAGAGTGAAGTAACTAGTGACTAATTTCCAAAAACCTCCCTCCTGCTCCGTCGTACGTGCAGTCATAGCTGCGCTTCCCTTCTTGGTTCATTTGATGCTCCACGTCAGCCGTGGAGCGGGCAAATCTGGCCGAATAGGCAGAAAATGTCACAAATGTGACAATGTTCTTCCAGACTACTGCAGCACCAGCTTCCTTTCATCGTGTTTATTTTGTCAGTCTTGAGAGGACTGTCAGAGCAGTTCCTGTGATTTCACGAAGGGCAAAAAAGCAGTTCCCTGATCTTTAGTTTAGCAGGCGTCTTTCTCCCCGTGTTCCCTCCGGTGTGTTGACTGGCAGTTTCCCAGTGTGAACACTGGAGCCCTGGCAGGGACAGAGCAACGCTCAGAAAGCCCCTGTGTGCTGCGATACTGCTGCTCATGCATCAGGAACGGGTCCCTGGTCCAGGCCGTTGATAGACCCTTTGCTGAATATTTCATTGTGAAAGTCTGGGCTTCAGCACGCGCGGCATTCCACAGAAGTGGTGTGACACCCTGAAAAACTGTGACACCGCTGCCTGCGACACACGTGTAGCCGCATCAGGGTTTTCCTGCCGTCCCACCCTCTCAAAATAGTAGGGAAGTTCTACAAAGGGTGACCCTTTGTGTTCAGTGCCGTTAATCATGGTGAATAAAGGTGGGGTTAGTGGCGAGTTTGATTAATGCTCATTGATCAAATGAACATTTTTGTATATATGCATATATGTGTGTGTGTATATATATATGAATAATCTGATCATTTTAACGAAGATGATGCGAGGGCTGGAGCACCTCTGCTATGGAGACAGACTGAGAGAGTTGGGATTGTTCAGCCTGGAGAAGAGAAGGCTCCGGGGAGATCTTCTAGCAGCCTTCCAGTACCTAAAGGGGCTACAAGAAAGCTGGAGAGGGACTTTTTGCAAATGTAGTGATAGGACAAGGGACAATGGCTTTAAACTGAAAGAGGGGAGATTTACATTAGATCTAAGGAAGAAGTTTTTTACACTTAGGGTGGTGAGGCACTGGAATGGGTTGCCCAGAGAAGTTGTGGCTGCCCCATCCCTGGAGGTGTTCAAGGCCAGGTTGGATGAGGCTTTGAGCAACCTGGTGTAGTGGAAGGTGTCCCTGCCCATGGCAGGGGAGTTGGAACTGGATGATCTTTGAGGTCCCTTCCAACCCAAACCATGCTGTAATGATATGATTTAGTCATGGATATGAGACGTTCAGTTTTGCAGGTATTAAGCTGCGGGGCTCTGTTATCGGCAGCTGCATAGATTTCCTTAAACTAGGTTTGTTAGTTTTGAGCAACAGATGATGCTCAGTTTGAAAGAATTTTTCAGGTTACTATAACATGAGAGTTATTATAAAATATTGGAGTCCTCCCAGGCAGTGTCTCTATCAGCAGGTTTGTCTGACCATACTCAAAAACCCAGTTAGCATCAAACTTGATAATCCCTAGTGAGGGCATTGATGATTTTAAGATCCATAGCTTTGGAAAGAGACCTTCATGTTTTCCCTATAAATTGGCAAGCAGATGGAAACATGGGAGAATGAAATTACAGAGAGCTCAGAGAAGGAATTTTTTAACTATCTCATTAGGAAGTAGTTTAATACTGTCCCCTCTCCTTGTCCCCACACCCCTGAAACCTTCTTCAACATAGATTTATGGATTGTTCTGTCTTTGTCGGGTACTAATCAGTTTTATTTAATACCTCTATTTTTATTTCTGAAGGACGATTCTGAAAGACAGTAGGTTCTTTCGCTATTTGCACACGGCTGTGATAATGAGTGGAACCATGCTGGTGTTTGGAGGAAACACGCACAATGACACCTCCATGAGTCACGGCGCCAAGTGCTTTTCTTCGGATTTTATGGCATATGATATTGGTAAGTTCTCGCAGAAATAAAGGAATTCTTGGATATTCAAAAAGAGCTGCCTTCAGAATGAGTAATTTACATGCTGGGTGTATTATACCAAATGCTGCTAAGCATACTGCAGAAGAATGTGTAATCAGGAGAGGCTCGTTCAGCTTGCGACGTATTACCGAGCAAATGAGCTGGTGCAGTGATTTCTAGGCAAATACAGCAGCAGTTGTCTGGTCAACAGTTTAGACACAACCTTGGGCATTAAAAATTATTATTTCTTAAACAGAAAGTGTATTGTTCTGCCGTCTCAGCCATAAAGCTATCGTGCTATTTCAAATGGGTTTTAATCTGTGATTTATCAAAAAGGCAGGCTGATAGGACAGTTCTGAGCAGTGGATGCTGCTGAAGCTCAACTCGGAGGTTGCATCCTCTTGTTTTAACCGCGAGCTGGCTGACTTGTTTGGCTGTGCTGTTTGTAATGTCAGTTTGTTTGTATGTGTGCTTTATAAGCATAAATATCCCCATAAGCACTATTTAACAATAAAGCCAAACGATTAGATTTTTATTTGAAAGGGTTGGGTTTAGACGAGTTTGAATAGCCAGGAGAGGGCAGCATTTGTTTGTGAATCCGAAGTCCAGAGACGATGCTTCCAAGAAGAAAAGAAGAAATTACATAAAAGAAGGTGCATGCACATCCAGATAATTCACGACGAAGAAAAACACCGTTCTGTACTCATATCACATTCTGCCTTCTGCTCTCAGAATCCCTTAAATGTGGGCTCTTCTGATTGATTCCCTGAAATCGTCATGTAAACCTGAATTCTCAGGGTGACTGTCCCCTGAGATGTCACTCCTGGCTTGCGAAAGAAATATGCAAGTGAATGGATTACTCTTGGCAGTGGGGTTTGGCGTCATTGAGCTATTCTTCTGTCTGTTACAGGGATCGTTCCCTTCTGCTTCCTGGAATTTCAAGTCATATCTCTGGGGAATTTGTTGTATGCTCCTAGCTAGCTTTATTTTGAGAGGTTTTTTTCCTTGAAGAACATTTAAAACGAGGTATTTTGAGTGTCAGAACAGAGTAATTTTTTTAAACTTGTATAGCAGTAGCGATACATTTTTCTTCCTACGTTTTGCTGTCTTCTCTGACCTGTTGAACTCTTTGATGTAAAACACAAATTGCATTAATTTGATAAAATACGTCAATAGCGATGCTCATTTTGATTCAGTTTAGTTCTTGTTACGTGAAGTAGACGTTGTAGTTGGCTTGCTCAATCCTTAACTGTTTTACACTGAGAATTACAACTTGCACTGATTGCACTTCATGTGACAGGGATGGGAGGTGTGCTGGTGCTCTTGAGTACCCTCATTCCTTAAAGCAGAGACTCTCAGGCTAGAAAGAGCAGCTTTTTTTCGGAAAAGATGACCAATTTTTCTATTCTTGTCATGGCAGCGCACCTTATGCAGAATTTACTGTATCCATTGGTCCGGGAACACTACCAGGATTATGTTAGGATGTTGGCTGATCAGTAGTGTCACAGCAGAAACACCTACTTGATGGTTCTTTATGCATGATCTCTGCAGTAATTACATTGATCGCATTCGTGTAGGTCTGCATGGGAATAAGCCCATACACTGTGGGGAAGACCCATGTGGCCATGCCACCATGGATGGATATGGCCATTGCATCTTTAATATTAACATGCCTATGTGTTTGTTATCTGTCCCTTGATTGTCCCAAGGCTCAGGCTACCCAGGAGAAAACCAAGCAGCAAAGTCAATCATTACTGAGTGCCTTCGGAGGAGAGGCTTAGTAATTGGCTATAAAAGTAGGGAGTATCTGGCTAACTTGCTCATTTTTAACATCTTGTTGATGGAGGTAATATCTTAGTGGTGGTAGTGATGGTTGGAAGACTGGAGAAAACTAAAATGAAAAATGCATTCTAAAAAAAAAGGCTTCAAAACCAAATCTTCTCTTCAACCTTTACTATTAAAGCTTATTCCTGCAGTAACTCATTTTACTTACCTCATCAAATGTTTCTGGTTTTCTTTCTCTCCTCAAATTTCTAAGTAATCAGACCACATGCATTGAGTGTTGTGAGGACAGATCATCTTTTTTTTTTAATGTAGGATGCAAACAGATGTCACTGAGATATGTGCTGAGGTTCTCTGGAGGCTTAGCAGAGTAGGTAGATCTAAGAATACATTAATGCTTCTTATCCCTTTATCTTTCACTTAACCAGGTTGGGGCTTATTCAGTCCAAACTGTCCAGGTAACACCCAGTTTCGTAAGATTTCAGGATACCAGTCCAGCTCTCTGTGTGCATATACATCTCTTGTTGCTTCTCAGGACAAGCTTCTGGATTGTGTTGGCATTTGCATTGAGCAAGCACTTGGGTAGAACAGTCTTAAAGTCTCTGTCCTACGTTCTGCACGGCGCAATGACTAGTTAGCACTTCCTATCCCCAAAATTGGTCTCTCTGGCCTCTGTAGAAGAGTTTTCTGCTCTGCAGCAGTTTTGTCTCTGGGTGGACAACTGCCTCACTTAATCCTCTACCTCCTCCTATCAACAATTCATAGCAACAGAGGAGCTGAGTGAGAGTTGCAGCCCTTCCATCGCTACGTGTTCATCTCCAGGAGTGAAAAGTTCTGTTTTCCAAAGGATCGCCTCCTGTGTGTATGGGATGTGTCTAAAACAAGAATAGAAACGTCACAGGCAGATTGTCTCAAAGTGCAGTTACTGTGGTTTAAGTAACCACTCTTCTTCATTTTTAAAGATGTTTTGACTTTATGTTTTTTTAAAACTTGGCATGAAATATTCATGTAATGATCTTTTCTCCCAACAGGAGAGAAATAGAAACTCTTCCATTTACGGCATCAAAAATTTAGTTCTGATGACCAACATAGAGGCTGGATGTTTTCATATCATACGTGTTCTCTTTGAATAGTATATTTAATAAATCCTGTGCATTGTAAGTTTTAGACTTGGCTTAACTCGTAAGTCAGGAAGGAGAAGCTTCTTTGTAGTTTCAGAATCATCCATTTTTTCCAATCTTCAGTTAAAGATGGGGAAGAAGCTTAGAAAGCAAAACATTCCAGGCCTTCTATTAATCTAGAAAAATATGTTTCTTGGCCTCACATAACTCACAACTTGCTGGATAAAAAATTGTAAATTGCTGTCCAATTTTGCTGAAGTCTCCTGTTAAAAATTGGAACGGTGCGTGCTTGTCTCAGGAGTGATGCTGGGCTAGGTTAAATTCTTTGAAAATTGAGCAAACGACATTTAAAAATAAACTTCAAAATCATGATTTATCAGAGTATTAAATCTAACCAACTGGGCCTTATGTCTTTTATTTATCATCACTCTTGAACAAGAGTTTCTGCAGGAGCAGAGGTTGCAGTCAATTGTTTTACCCAACAATTCTCCAATTAAATTTGGTAAAAAAAATAATCAGTTTGTTTTTCTTTGCCCTCTCAGTTTATCCTACATACTACTTTGGGTTTGAGGACTTTTTTGTCAGAGGCTCAGTCCATGGCACAGCAGTTTTATCTTGTATTAAAGAATCTTCGAGTATTCGAGGGCTCCGTAGATCTTTACAGCAGATTGACTTTTCTGTCTTAATTGCATAAATTGCATGTAACTGCCTCTGGGACATTAGGCCCCAAGGTGATCCCGTTCACTTTACGAAGTTTAAGTGATATGAATTGGACTGACTTTTCCTACTTTTGTTCTTTTGATTGAACAGTGGGTTATGTGTTTCTGAGGATTTTTTTTTTTCAGGCTGCCTAAAGGAAGAAATTACCTGAGAAACTAAGTAAAAAATGAAGCAGAACTTATAAATGTTATGCTAATAGAAAAAGATGGAATAATCTTACATTATATTAAAAGAGAAAAACAACCACAAATCCTTGAGCTATGACGAGTGAAAAATATTTTTAAAAACATGGATATCTACCCTCTAGGAACATAATTGCAATGGGGGGAAAAAAAAGATAAGTCTCTGTTCTCAGTGATACTGGTTTGGGGCAAAACTGGAAATAATTCACACATAAACAGATAAAAACTGAACTTGTGCAGTGAAAAATTCCACTAGTAAAGGAGAAAAAGCAACTCAAGCCACTGCTGTTCAATTACACGTGATTGCGAAAAGCAAATAACCCCTTCAACACAATACCCTGAAACTTTCCTTTTTCATCAACTGTTTAGGTGATGGAGCAGAGCCATTACATCCTTCCTTTTCTTTTTTGTTGTAGCATGGCAGCTGGGGTGAAGACTTAAATCTTATGAAAGAAGATTTGAGATTTGCATTTTGGTGGTGGGCAGAATGGTCTCTCTATAGTTGTTGAAGTACTTTGAGATCGTTCAGGAAGAAATGTGCTATTTAAGTCGAGTCATTAATTGTACTGAGGAGCTTTTCTGAAATGAGGTTTCCTTAATCCTAGCTTGCGATCGGTGGTCTGTTCTTCCTCGCCCGGGTCTCCATCACGATGTGAACAGGTTTGGACATTCGGCTGTGCTGTACAACAGGTAAGGTTACAAAAACGTTGGAGGGTGTTGACATTTTTCATACCTCAGAGTCACACACCTGTGTGTATCGGTGCATGTGTGTGTTGATACGTGTTGATCAGTAACACTGAGACAAGAAGGTTGAGGATTTGGTGCAAACCTCTCGAAGTTCTCAGGTCTTCAGTCTTGTAATGTCTTCAGTATCCACCTGTTCTGTCAGCCCTTCTTCACTGGGCTAAACTGTCTCAGCTCACTCAGTGCTTTCAAAAATTTG